ATTGATCCAGCAAGCGAAACACAGCCCGGCGCGTGGCTAGCACGTGAGAAATTTAGGCGCGTCCGCTTGGTCACTATGTGCGCATAGCGTTCGGCCCGTCGCTTCGATGCCTCGGCACTTCATGGCTGGCTCTGGGTCTGTCTTGGCGTAGCGAGATTCTTGCGTAGGTACGCAGGTTGGCACCTAGCTACCTACGCGCCGTCCCCCGTAGGCGGACAAGTGGCCCCAGCGCTCGGCGATGTGTCTAGGTACTTCGTGCCCCGTGTCGACGACGGACTGTGGGAGGGCGGCTGTGGCTCTCTTTCGTTACCCACGTAGGTAGGGCATCCGCGCCGCCTGCGTGTGTGCTTTTCGTTCTCTACTTATTCCACTCGGCAAGGCAGGCCTCACGCACTTAGTTAGTGGAGCAGGCTGGGACCGCCTGGGCTCGGAATGGCGGGCGTTTCTGTGTGACTGTTTAAGCCACTGAGTAGGTAGCGGCGCCTGGCCACTTTCTTACTCTCTTAGTTCCCTGGCTGCCTTCGTAGTGCATGGGCTCGCTTGGGCGGGCGGAGTTTGAACCTCTTGGGCCCATTGGGTGGCTGACGCTCAGCGTCTGCCCAGTTGGAAAATTTACTAAAGTCCGCGTCTCCTTTCGTTTAGTAGTTTTTTGGACAGATTCAGCCGGTTTTTTTATCGCAAAAAAATGAACCAGGGCCGAAAGTTGCCGAAAGTTGCCGAAAGTTGCCGAAAGTTTCAGCAGGGCCGAAATTTGCCGAAAGTTGCCGAAATTTGCCGAAAGTTGCCGAAAGTTGCCGAAAGTTGCCGAAAGTTGCCGAAAGTTGCCGAAAGGTGCCGAAAGTTGCCGAAAGTTGCCGAAAGTTGCCGAAAGTTTTTCTCGGTAATTTTCGGCAACTCTCGGCATCTTTCGGCAACTTTCGGCAACTTTCGGCAACTTTCGGCATCTTTCGGCAGCTTTCGGCAACTTTCGGCAACTTTCGGCAAATTTCGGCAACTTTCGGCCCTGCTGAAACTTTCGGCAACTTTCGGCAACTTTCGGCCCTCGTTCGTTTTTTTGTGATAAAAAAACCGGCCGAACCTGATCAAAAAGCTACCAAACGAAAGAGGACGCGGACTTTGGTAAATTTTCAGCTTGGTAGCGAACGAGGCTGGCAGAACGAGGAACGAAAGTAAGGCGCACCCGCAGCCAGCCAGACTGACGGACAGCCACCCCCCCGCGTATCAGGCACATGCAGCGCGTTGCCAGCAGCTGGCGTGTAGTAATGCTGGGCGAGCTATGGAGAAACGAAAGCACACCGACACAAAGGGACTGGCGCGCAGGCTGGCACGTAGTAGACGACCGGCGGGCCTACCCACCGAGGCAGGCTGGTGCCAGCCTGCGCCGCTAGCTTCGTCTTTCAATCGGTAAGGACTCACACAGGCTGACTGCTTGACTCATGTATGGCCAGGCCAGCCCATGCCAGTACCTTCCCACCAACGAACCTACGAACGCAGGGGAGCTTCGTTCTCAGACTGCTGGACACCCACAGACACAGGCGCGCGGGTTCTGTAGACGCACTGGAACTGACGCACAGCCGCGCGGAGTCCGATACAGTTATAGACAGGGGGACAGGCTGGCAAAGCCTGGAGGACGGGGAGGGTGTGGGCCATCCAACCACGCAAGCACGCCCATGCGTGGGCAGGGGGAAGCTTGCGTGGGCCGCACAGTAAGAAGTGAAGGCTGCCCCATATCTATCAATATACACACATAGGTAGCTAACCAAGTAAGTGGCAGATGGGTGCTTACTATGTATCAGGTAGTATCTTTTTAGGGAGCTAACCTCGGCAGCGCTGGCAGGCTTGCTTGCTAAGAGAGTAGTTGCCTGCCAGCCGCGTAAATTTTCCTCCCGTTCATTCTATCCTTGTTGCTGAAACAAAGACGCCGAGCTACCAGCGTGCAGATGGATACATAGATAATCTAACGCCAGCGAACCACTCACATTCAGACTCAGTCAGTCCACGCCTGCGCTCCATACTTACATCGA